TCACAACTGTAACTCCAGCTCCATGAGGGTCTGATGCCCCCGGCCTCCAAAATCACCTGCACTCAGGTGCACGTACGCCCCCAAACAACACACACTTAACACACGCACACACCCCAACACACAACCTAACACACATACATATAATAAAAGGTAAACAAAAAAATCTTGAAAAAAAGTTTTATTTTATTTTATATTTTTTACGAGACAGGGTTTCTCTGTATTGTTTTGGAGGCTGTCGGTCCAGTCTGGCCTCAAACTCACAGCGATCCGCCTGCCTCTGCCTCCCAAGTGCTGGGATTAAAGAAAAAAAGTTTTAAAGAAGATGGGAGAAATAGCCTGAGACAAGGCATGGGCGGCCCTAAGGCTATCCCGAGTATCTGGGCAATGTGAGCCGTCTTCTGTGTGAGGTGGGGCTGCCTGGGTTAAGGAGGATGCGATAAAAAGCAGGAAGGCTAGCTGGGCGTGGAGGCTCAAACTTGTAACCTCAGCACTTGGGAGGCTGAGGCAAGAGTTTGAGGCCAGCCTGAGCTCCAGCAGAAGAGTCTGATTCTTGTCGTCATCACTGTTGCTTGCTCTATCATCTTTTGGGTGGAGGGCACAGCTCAACAGAGAGCGCCTGGTTAGAATCTGCAAGTGAAGGGCTGGGGTGTGGCTCAGATGTAGAACTCTTTCTTGGAGTTCCCCAGTGAGGGGCTGGGGTGTGGCTCAGTGGTAGAGCACCTGCCTAGAATCCCCCAGTGAGGGGCTGGGGTGTGGCTCAGTGGTAGAGCCCCTGCCTAGAATCCCCCAGTGAGGGGCTGGGGTGTGGCTCAGTGGTAGAGCCCCTGCCTAGAATCCCCCAGTGAGGGGCTGGGGTGTGGCTCAGTGGTAGAGCACCTGCCTAGAATCCCCCAGTGAGGGGCTGGGGTGTGGCTCAGTGGTAGAGCCCCTACCTAGAATCCCCCAGTGAGGGGCTGGGGTGTGGCTCAGTGGTAGAGCCCCTGCCTCCTCTCCCAATTGCTGGGATTAAAGATGTGCATCACCCTAAGTCCTCCTAGCAAAACAGCAGCTGTCTTCACATCCACTGTCCTGCTTTCAATCCTGTAGCCTGTTGACATTCCCTCACATTGAAGGAGGGTCACTGGATCATCACCCAAGATTCCACATGTGTGGTGTGCACACACACACCTACACATGTAACATTTTTTGTTTTGTTTTTCAAGACAGGATTTCTCTGTGGCTTTGGAGGCTGTCCTGGAAGTCACTATGTAGACCAGACTGGTCTCAAACTCACAGAAATCCACCTGCCTCTGTCTCCCGAGTGCTGGGATTAAAGGCGTGCGCCACCACCGTCTGGCCAAAATCTTTTTCATAGATATAATTTATTAGTATTTTATGTACATTGGTGTTTTGCCTGCATGTATGTTTGTGTGAAGGTGCCAAATCCCCTGGAACTGGAGTTGCAGACGGTTGTGAGCTGTCATGTGGGTGCTGGGAATTGAACCTGGGTCCTCTGGAAGAGCAACAGGGGTTCTTACCTGCTGAGCCATCTCTCCTACCCCTCTTGGTATTTTGGAGGTGAGTATCTCAGACTAGCCTGAAATTTCCAGTGTAATGCAAAATGGCCTTATCCTGGGAGAGAGAGTTCAGACTTGTGCCATCATGCCTGGTTTTTCTGTTGGTTTGGATTTTTTTTCTTTTTCTTCTTTGAGTATATTTGCCATGCTGGAGACAACGCCCAGAGCCCTGTACATTCTAGGTAAGAATTCTACAACTGAGCCGGGTGGTGGTGGCACATGCTTTTAATCTGATCACTCGGGAGGCAGAGGCAGGTGGATCTCTGTGAGTTCGAAGCCAGCCTGGTCTTCAAAGAGAGTTCCAGGACAGTCCCCAAAAACAATACAGAGAAACTCTGCCTCAAAAAACCAAAAAAAAAAAAAAAAAAAAAAGAATTCTACAATTGAGCTACATACACCTCAGCCCCTCACTGGGGGATTCTATGCAGGTACTTCATTGCTGAGCCTGATGAGAAAGTGCTTCCTAGTTTATGGTGGTGAATGCAGGAATCTCTCATAGGACTTTGGAGGTGGTAAGCTGCCTGTCATAAGACTCACAGCACAATTGGTAAGGGTTGAACTACCTTGTAGTAGGAAGACTCAGGACCAGGTAAGGTTGAGGGACTCTGGACCATCTCCCACTGGACAAAGGCTTGAGATGGGGGGGGGCACCAGTACTATGTGCTTTCTCTCTGGATCCAAACAAAGCCCTGAGTCCTCTCTCTTCAGAGGGCATGAGGCAAGACTGATCAACCCTCGGAGGCACAGTTTCCCCGTGCACCTCCTCTGACTGTGGGTGTGACGGTTGCCATGGAGCTGAGTCTTTGTTCGGTGACCCAAAGTTGGGTGAGTCTTTGGAACTCTCTTTGACTTGTATGAGGAGATAGCAAGTGGGGAGCCCCACCTACCTTGTGAGTCACCCCCAAAGGTACACAGCAAGGAAAACCAAAAGGGGTAGAATATTCCCCGGGGCTTGGTATGACTACCACCTGGCCCCTTTGGGGCTCCGGGGACCCCTTCATGACGTTCTCACGGGTGCTGGGTACTTCTAGGACCCAGAAGGGAGGAAGCCACGCCACGCCATCCAGCTGATGCAGCAAAATAGCATGACATCCCCAGGCCACAGCCAGACACGTGAAGCAGAGAAGTTCCCATATTATCAGCTTTTGGACAGATCTATTTGGCACATCTTAGACCCAGCACAAACCGGGTGGGGCTGAACAGCCTGACCCCTGCCCTCACTCTAATGGAGAAAGAGGCAGCAGCCATGTTCCATCTTAAATCTGAAAAGTCTCCCAGAGGCTCCTGCCTTGAGTACTTGGCCCCCAGCTGGCAGCACCGTTTTAGGATGTGTTGGGGTCTAGTTGCAAAACTAGGTCACTAGAGGTGGGTCTCCAAAGGTCAACCTGAGCTCTCTCTGCCTGCTGGTTCATCATGATGTGGACAACATTACTGCACGCCCCCACTGCCACAACCTGAGTGCCACGCCCAGTGGGAGAAGTGACTCCACAGCGTGGTCCCCTGACCTCCGCATAATTCTAAAGTCAGACGCAGGGATGCACATCTGTAACGCCAGCGGTTCTGTGCTGAAAGGGAAACAGGAGGATCACCCAGAAAGCTCCGGGGCCAGCCAGCCTGGAGTGTGACACAATACAGCAACAGAAGCAGGAAAGACCCCGCCTCAGCAAGGTGGAGGCGACAAGTGGTCCTCCAACCTCCACAGAGGAGCCGCGGCGCGCACGCGCATGTACCCACGCTCACATGTTGTACATGCACACGCACAAAGATAAAAAAAATTAATGAATGCAAAAATAAGCAAAAGGAAATGGGCCTGGAGGGATGGCTCAGGGGTTTAGAGCTCCGACTGCTCTTCCCGAGGGTCTGAGTGCGATTCCCAGCACCCATGTGGTGGCTCACAGCCATCTGTGGTGGGATCTGATTCCGCCTTCTGGTGTGCATGAAGACAGAGCCCTCGTGAACATAAAATACATGAATAAATAAATTTTGTTGAAAGAAGAAGAGAGAAAAAAACGGTCGTTGACTTAAAAAAAAAAAAAAGAGTGTTTATTACTTTAAGTTTTCGGTCCTGGCAGGCACAGGGTCTCCGCCATACTGGCTAGAGCGGATGCCTGGGACAGAGGGCAGGAGTGGAATGGAGATGGGGAGATGAAGAGAAACAGATGAATCGTTTGCATTAAACACCGAAGGGGAGCAAGCTGCAGCCTGCCTGGGTACTGGGAGAGCATGCTGCTTCCAAGAGTCACGGCTGACGACCGTGAGAGTGCAGGAGTCACCCTCCCCGTGGGAACTATCCTCTCATGCGTCTGACAGCATTAATCGTGAGGCTGACCCTGCCCAGGGCTGGGGACTTAAGACAGGATGAGCAAGAACATGCTTTTTCGAGGAACACCCTTTTCTCCCTGCTTGTTTTTTTCTTTTTTCTTTTTTTTTGGACAGGTGTACTGTAGCCCAGGCTGGCTACCTAGCTGAGGCTGACCTTGAACTCCTGATCCCCCTGCTTCCACCTCCCAAGTGATGGAATTATAGGTGTGGGGCACTAACTCTATCTGGGTCCTTTCTGATGACTGCTTTCAACTTCATTTTGAGAGAGAGAGAGAGAGAGAATATGTATGTATGTATGTATGTATGCATGCATGTATGTAGGTATACACACACATAAATATACGCCCATATATTTGTGATGCTGGTGCTGCTGGAGAAGGAGCCTAGAGCCACATACATGTCAGGAAAGAATTCTATCATTGAGCTATGTCTCAACCCCTATCTATCTATCTATCTATCTATCTATCTATCTATCTATCTATCATCTATCTATCATCTATCATCTATCTATGATCTTTCTCACACATAAACAGAGATATAGAAACATTATCTATGTGAGTATACACTGTGGCTTGCTGGCCGTGGTGGCTGGAGCTCTCCTGTAACCCCAGAACTTGTGAAGGAAGATCAGGAGTTCAGGGTCATCCTTGGCTATGTACTCGTTCTGAGGCCATCTTAGAGACTCTATCTGAAAGTCTGAAAGGGGGAGGGAAGGAGAGAGGGAGGGAGGGAGGGAGAGAGAGAGAGTGTGTGTGTGTCTCCCATGGCCAGCATTTGCTGGGACCACCTCAAGGTTTTGCCTGTCAGTTTAGGTGATCTTGAAGGGACACCTACCTTCTGTCCCTTGTCTAGAAGATAAAGCAACTCCCTCCTTCACAAGGGGACTGTAAGGTGTCCTAGTGGCAAGATACAGGACAGGTAAGGCAGGAGCTTTATGGGACAGGGCTGCCTGCTCCGTACCTGGCCCCTCCCAGCCCAGGCCCTCTTGGAGTGGGGTGCAGGGGTCCTGGCTAGTCTCGCTCATTGTTCTCTTCTCTTCAGACCCGTCCCTAGTGATGCCAAATCCCCCAGAGCCTATAGACTCAGCCCCTGAACCTGTCTAACCGGTTGTACGGGAGGAGAGGGCACCCCCAAAGCGGGAAGAGTCCAGACAGAGCAGCTGGAGCCGCACTGCAGAGGGACCTCGGAGGAAGGACATCATCCCAGCCATGGGACTCCACGAGAGACAGTCGCCACTGCTGATGCCACTGCTGCTGGTGGTGACTCGTGTCCAGCCTGGGGCAGGTCTGGGTGAGTGAGGCTGGGGAGTGCCCTCTGTAGGATGGAACACTTCCTTTGGAGCTCCAGGTCCTCCAGTGCCCCTCCTTGGTTGTGGACTGGGGGCCTGGGTGTGTCAAGACATTCAGCCCGGATCGCACCGTCAACCCCCAGAATGAAAAGCAAGAACACTGCTTCTCTCCTCTTGTGGATTCTCACGCCCACATTTTCACCAGTGGCTCCCTAGTAACCCCTTACCGCCATAGCCCATTCCTCTTCCCTCAAATTAAGCAAATGTTAACTACCTACTGTATACAGAATACCCTAGTCTTCCATGGTAGGACAGGGATTTGTTTTTATTTGTTTGTTTAGTGTGTGTCAGCTTGTATGTCTGTGTGTGTGTCTGTGCATATCAGTGTGTGTGTGTGTGTCTGTGTGTGTGTGTATTGGTGAATGCATATTGTGATACAAGTGTGGAGGTCAGAGGGCAGCTTTAAGGAGCCAACAGATAGATCCTGGGCATAGAACTCGGCATATCCAGCTGGGTGGATTTCTGCCAGTTCTAGGACATCCAGGGCTACACAGGGAAACCCTGCCTCCTTGTGTACACAGCTGTGTTGTGCACAATGCATTGTGGGGCTCAGAGGATCACCTCAGGTGTCAGTTTCCAGACAGTGCCTGTCTCCACCGTAGCTGGGATCCCAGATGTATGTCATCACACCTGGCTTTTTATGTGTATGCTGGGGATTAGAACTCAGGTCCTCAAGCTTGTAAGGTCCCGAATTGATTAGAGACTTGTAGGAAAGCCCACTCCGTCTTTATTGTCTCAGGGTTAGGGGCTTGGAGTTGGAGGCGTGTTGTGCTTCGGTACTGGGCAGGGGAGCACTCAGGAGGACTGTGGGGAGGGCAGAGCTTCTCCCATGAGCACTGAAGCTGGACAAGGCTGTGGTGCTCCCCTGGGGTCCCCTGTAACATATGAAGCTGTAGACAGATCTGAGAAGGGGACAAAAGGGATGAGGGTTGAAAGGCTAGGCATTGGTCATGTGGCCATGGTGATGTTGGTCACGCGGCCACGGCGAGGCTGGAAGGTGGCAAAGAACCCAGAAGGGAGAAAGTAATGTCTTTGAATGAGCCAGCCCCCTGGATGGTCTGTGTCCCAAGCTGGGGTCTCAGTGCAGGGGACACTTAGGTGCCTCCCCGCTGCCCCTTCCATGCAGGTCACCTCTCTGCCTGTCTGTCCCTGACCATGGGTGCTGGGATTCAGGGTCTTTCCACCTTCTCTCTGAGACAGGGCCTCTCATTGGCCAGGAGCTCTGCCGTGCGGGCCAGGGGATCGGTTCAGGGGGTCCTCTCGTGCCTGTGGCCCATCTCACTGTCTCTGGGGTGACAGGTGCCCGGCACCATGCCTTACTTTTGACATGGTTCTGGGAATCTAAACTCACGTCCTCACGTTTGGGAGGAAAGCTGTGCTGCTGGAGTCTCCTCTCCAGCCCAGCTCAGCTCAGTCTCGTCTAACTAACGGGAGAGCCTGGCCCACATGGCTTGAGCAGGAGGGACACTCAGGTCTCTGACAAGCCCAGTCTTGAATTCTGGATGCCCCGAATCTGAGTCTCCTGAGCCTCCCTTTGTCCATCTGCCACTCCCTGCCCAACACCCCAGTGACACAGTACTGAGCTTCCAGAAGGCTATCACAAGAGGGAGGGTCCAGGGGCTCCACCCCCCCAAGGGCATCTCCCAGAAAGATTCCTTAATTGTGGATCAGGTAAGATGGCCCGGCTGGCAGACACTTGCCGTTGAGCCTGATGGTCAGTTTGATCCCCAGGACCCACATGGTGGAGAACCAACTCCCCAAAATTGTCCGTAACCTGTGGCACACGTGGGTATGTACACGTTACACACACACACACACACACACACACACACACACACACACACACACTCCCAGAGTGAGAGACAGAGACAGTGAGAGAATATAAATAAGAGCTGGGTGGTGGCAGCAGCAGTGCGCGTCTTTAATCCCAGCACTCGGGAGGCAGAGGCAGGCGGATCTCTGTGAGTTCGAGGCCGGGCTGGTCTACAGAGAGAGTTCTAGGATAGGCTCCACAGCTACAGAGAAATAAATTGAATAAAAAGAATGTGGTGGGAGAAATGGTTGCCTGATCCCCTTTGGAGTGCGGCTTCGGAGACACTGAAGCAGGGCTGACTTACTCAGCCTCTCCGCCCTCTCTTCCCACCCTTCCCAGAGCGCATCCACTATGTCCCGCAGCTCTACAATGCCACCCTGTTGGGAAGGCTCACACAGTCCACCTTCACACTGGAGCAGCCCCTGGGCCAGTTTGCGAATGTCAACCTCTCTGACGCGGACCCCATCTGGCTGGTGGTGGCTCACAGCAACTGTGCGTGTTTGCTTTCTCCCTGTGACGGGGCAGACGGGCCGGGTCTGAGAGGTCTAGCCGGCAGGGAGAGTTGGGAGGGGGGGGGGGCTGTGGCTGGGAAAGGCTGTCAAGCTTCCAAGTGTGGAACTTGTGGTCCTGCCCACGTGATTCCTATTGGCTGACCCTCAGTGTCACCCCCAGCCACCCAGAACTTTGCTGCCCCGCAGAAGGTGGAGGACAAGCTCGCCCCTGCCGGCTTTGATCACAACGGCTACTACCTCACACTGAGGGCCAGCCGGGTACACTACCAGGGCCGCCAGGCTAGCAGCCAGCTCCGAGTCCTCCGTGTTGGCAACGATACCAACTGCTCCATGGAGTCCCAGGGCTGTAACTCTCCCCTGCCAGGTGCTGGCCCCTACAGGTGAGCAGCAAAGATGGGGGAGGATCCTGCCTGGGACAAACCGGCGCCCGGGGCAGCTACTGGACGGCTCACTGAGGTCAGATGGGATGCCTGGGTTCCCCAGTAATCTTCCTCCCTTCCTTCTCTGCTTGTTTTTTGTTAGTGGTCCTGGGGGTGGGACCTGGGCGTGGAACAAGCACACCCCACCCTCTCACTGGGGATTGTAGGCCGGTCCTTACTGTCATGACAAAGCTCATGGGGGACCTTGGCGGGTTCCATGGCGGGTGATGCTGAACGAGGCGGAAAGACAAGCATGCCAGGGAGAGAGCCTAAGTGGACAGAGGTCTTTCTTTTAAAGGGGTCCTTTGCACCTGGACTGACCAGGGCACTGCCTGAGTGCATTCTGCCAGGTGACAAGGGCAGACCAGCATAATGCCCGAATCGTTATATTTTTTTTGTTTGTTTGTTTGGTTTTCGGTTTTTTGAGACAGGGTTTCTCTGTATTGTTTTGGAGAGAATATTTACACTTACATCATTCTTTTTTTAATAAAAGATTTATTTATTTATTTATTTATTTATTTATTTATTATGTGTATGGTATTCTGCCTGCATGTCTGCAGGCCAGAAGAGGACACCTGGCCAGAAGAGGGCACCAGATCTCATTACAGATGGTCGTGAGCCACCATGTGGTTGCTGGGAAGTGGACTCAGGACCTTTGGAAGAACAGTCAGTGTTCTTAAACTCTGAACCATCTCTCCAGCCCTACATCATTCTTTTTAAAATTTATTTTTATTATTTTATGTGTATGACTGTGTTGCCTACATGTATGTCTGTGTACCACACATGTGCCTGATGTCCAAGGAAGTGTTGAGTCTCTGTGTGGATGCTGGGAATCGAGCTTAGGTCCTTTTGCAGCAACAACAAGTGCTATTAAGCACTGAACTTCTTTCTTTCTTAAAAAAAATAGTGGTGGTGGTGGCGCACACCTTTAATGTCAGCACTTGGGAGGCAGAGGCAGGCAGATATCTGCGAGTTCCAGGACAGCCTCCAAAGTTACACAGACAAACCCTGTCTCGAAAAACAAAGAAGCCAAAAGCCCTAAATTATGGGGGCTGGAGAGATGGCTCCGTGGTTAAGAGCACTGGCCGCTCTTCTAGAGGACCCAGGTTTGATTCCCAGCACCCACAAATGCACATACGCAGACATATATGCAAGCAAAACATACACAAGAGATAATAACAAAATGAAATCTTTTAAAAAAGATTTATTTTGTGTTTAATTATGTGTATGGTTTTGATCTCATGGATGTGGGTAGCCACATGTGTGTCTGATCCCCTGGAACTACTTACTGGCAGCTGAGCTACCTGACATGGGTGCATTGTGTCCCCTAAGGCCTCCTCAGGTCTTTTTAAATAGTAATCCTCCTAGCTCAACCTCCTTACTCCATGGGATTGTTCCTAGTGCAGGCCAGGCACTCGTGGGTGGACACTAGCCTTGGACCCCTTTCTCCCTTGACTAAATGTTTGATTTACTCAGATTTGGTGTGGAGAGATCTAGCACACACACACAGAGTGAGGACCACTGCCGATGTCCCACAGCTCAAATAGGTCTCAGCTTCTGGGGGGCTCTGGGGCTGAGATTTCTAGTCCAGTCCTGACGCCTGCCTCAGGCTGGGGTCCCCAGAGGACAGGATCCCGGGCATCAAGACCTGAGGGTTTTAGAACCATGGGGAGTGTCCAACGCCAATGCTGGTCTCTGTTCAGAGTGAAGTTTCTGGTGGTGAATTCCAAGGGACCTGTGGCAGAGACAGAGTGGTCCAAGGAAATCTACCTGCAGCAAGGTATGGGAACAAGGCACAGCTCAGAAGGTATAGGGGGTGCTAACGGACCTGGGGACAGCGGGGGGGGGGGGGGGTTGGGGAAAAGTAGGTCTCCCCCTGTCAGGAAGCGTAGGGTTGTAGGGTTACCCTGGTCTTTGCATGTACCCCTCCTCTAGTCTGTCCCTGTTCGATTCGCGCGCGCGCGCGCGCACACACACACACACACACACACGGTGGACACAGGATGGTTGGTTTGAAAGCTGACTAAAGGGCCCTTATTTGGGGGTAAATAACTTTTTTCCTGCTTGCCTGTGCAGCCCAGACGTTCCCAGGAGACCCAGGGTTCCGCAGCAAGGGTACTGTGTTCATCATTGCTTTCTTGCCAATCCTGCTGGTTATCTTCCTGGTCCTGGTCATATCTGTTTGGTGAGTGGACGGGGTTGGTGTCGCCCCGCCTTCCAGCAGCAGCCTTCCTAGGTCGCTTCTTGCTGTTTGTCTGATGGAGTTGTTTCCCCGTGAAGGTTAGGCCTGGTTTCTCAGCGGTCGCCGCATGCCCCCTGGCGGCGGTATGTGGAATTGCGAGCGGGTAGTCAGAAAACATTTCACAGGGGCCACATCTAATAGATGTCCTTAACAGCGGATGTTTGTTTACACTGAGGTTCATAACAGTAGCAAGATTACATTTATGAAGTAGCAACAAGAATAACTTTATGATTGGGGGCCACCACAGCATGAGGAATTAAAGGGTCGCAGCGTTAGGAAGGTTGAGAACCGTGGGTTTTAGAGGATCCCTGGATTTGGGGTAGAGCCGGTCCCTGAGACGGTATTACTGGACCTGTTAGGATGAAAGCCTGGGATCTGGCGACCCTAGCAAGCTAGGTTCCGTCACCCATCCTGGATGGGCCAATTAAACAGATGGGTAATAATGAGGAGGGGCTGGAAGGATGGCTCAGTGGTATGGAGTGTGTACTACACTTACAGAACCTGTGTTCAGTTCCCAGCACCCATTCTGATGGCTCACAAACACCTGTAGCTCCAGCTCCAGAGGGATCTAATGCTTCTGGCCTGCACACGCACACTTCAAAGTAATAGAATAAAATAAATAAAAAAATTCAGTGTGGCCACATGGGAAAGAGTAACAAGGAGACCCAATGACTATGTCGATCTTTGGTACCCTGGAAAGGGTTAGGTTTAAATAGAGGGTAAGGAATAGGCATGGTTGAGCATTCCTGGTGAGGGCGCGGTCCCGGCCATCACTGACCATCCGCCACTGTCTTCTGCTAGTTCCCTCTGGCTGGCACCAGGCTTCAGTCCTCTGCTTCCCCAGCATAAGACTGAGTCCTGAGGGATTTCTTGGGATCTGTTGTTTTACAGTCTGATAGCCAAAGGGAGGGGAGCATAAGTGTCTCTTTATTCCCAGGCTGGGGTGTGGCTCAGGTGGGAGCCTGCTTGCCCTAGCGTGCACAAAGTTATCACCAGCACTGCTTAAAACAGATGTTCGCGGTAGTGGTGGTGCACATCTGGAATTCCAGCGCCTAGGAGGTAGAGGCAAGAGGATGAGGAGTCCAAGTCACATAGGGGGAGTTGAAGGCCAGCCTGGGATGGATGAGGCGCTGTCTGTAAAAACAAAAAGAATATCTTCATCCCTGCCAGTACAGTTACTCACAAAGGGATAGAGAGAGCCAGATGTGGTGTCACAGGCCACTAGTCCCAGCACTTGACAGTCAGTGTCAGAGAGATCTCTGAGTTCAAGGCCGGCCAGGTCTACATAGCAAGTTCCAGGACAGTCAGGGCTACATAGCAAGACCTTGTCTCAGGAAACAAAATAAACAAACACAGATGGGCAGAAAGAGAGAGGGAGGAGCCAGCTGTAAAGTTGTTTCTGTGTTACACTTGACTTATTTATGTTGAGTGTGGCACGTGTGCACCACAGCACACACTGGGGGGGGGGAGTCAGGTGACAACCTTCGGAGTCTGTTCTCTCCTTCAACCACGTGGGACCCAGAGGTCGAACTCAGGTCCTCAGGCTTGGTAGCAAGGTCTTCCGCCCACAGAGCCATCTCGCTGGCCCACAGGTGCTCTTTGACACACCCCCCTCAACTAGTAATAACTTTAGCTCTTGTAGAGCAAGCTGGTCTCAAACTCACAGAGATCCGCCTGCCTCTGCCTCCCGAGTGCTGGGATTAAAGGCATGCGCCACCACCTCCCAGCAATAATAACTTTAAAGGGTGTTATCTAAACCCCACTGTGGTTTTTAGAGCTTCAAGCCATTGCACAGGGAGCTGGGAACTGTCATCTTCTCAATGCCCCATGTCAGTTTGGTCCCTGGGGCCCACATGAAAGTGGTCCCCAGAGTTAGGGCCCCCACCGACCCTTCTCTCCCATTTCCTCTCTCCCGATCTCCCAAAGCTGCTGGAGGATGCCTATGTCCCGCCCACAGGAGCAAGTTCCCATGAGACGATATCACACCCACCACATGGACAGCCCTCGAGCAGAGCGGAGTTCCTGAGAGGTTCCAAGGGTTTTCTGCAGGGGCCAAGTGGCTGAGCCTGAGCTGGGGCCTGCCTGGAACCTTCTGGAACCGTAGCGGGAAAATGCTTTCAGCCCAAAACTTGGACTAGCCAGTCCCTGTCGGAAATAAATTTCCCTGATATCTTTGAATTTATCTCACGTATACCTGGGTTCATCTCCTCACCCCTGCCATTCTATTCTTTGTGCGTGTGTGTGCGTGCACACACGTGTGCACGTGTATGTGTGTATGCAGAAGCCTATCTCTCTCTCTCCACTTTTTGAACCAGGATCTGGGATTACAGGCATGTGCCACGACCGGCCCACTCCCTTTGACGCAGGGTCTCACTATATAACCCAGGCTGGCCTAGAACTCACGACCTCCTGCCTTGATGTCCTGAGTGCCAGCATTATGTGTTGTGCTGCCACACCTGTGGTAGTTTGAATGAAAATGGCCCCCACAGACTCACAGGGAGTGACATTGTTGGAGTGGGTGTGGCCTTGTAGGGGGAAGTGTCACCAGGGGGCGGGCTTTAAGGTTTCTGAAGCTCAAGCCAGGCCTAGTGGCCCCGGCTCTTCCTGCTGCCTGCCAGTCTGCATGTAGAACTCAGAGCTACCTCTCTGTCATGCACCATGTCTGCCTGCAACTTGCCATGATGACAATGGACTGAACCTCTGAACTGTAAGCCAGCCCCAATTAAATGTCTTCCTCTATAAGAGCGGCCATGCTCATTGTGTCTATTTGCAGCAATGAAACGTTAACTAAGACATCACCTGAGCAGTCTTTCTGTCCCTTTGTCCTAGCTCCTCTGGGAGAAGTTCTCAAAGTAAGATGTTAAGACTCAGGTTTTGCCAGGAGGTGGTGACTCACGTCTCTATTCCCAGCCGGCAGAGCTCAAGGCCGCCTTGGTCTACATGTAAGCTCTGGGCATCAGGGGTACATGTTGGCTGGAGAGGTGATTCAGCAGTTAAGAGCACCTGCTGCTCTTGCAGAGGACCTGGATGTCCCAAAGGTACCCGCACACATAATGCCCACAGAGACAAGAAGGTGTGCACACCTGTACCCACATACACACAAAATAAAATAAATGCAGCCGGGCATTGGTGGCACACGCCTTTAATCCCAGCACTTGGGAGGCAGAGGCAGGCGGATCTCTGTGAGTTCGGGGCCAGCCTGGTCTACAGATGGAGTCCCAGGACAGTCAGGTCTGTGTAGAGAGACCCTGTTTCAAAACAAAAGCCCAACAAAGTGAAAATCTAGAAAAAGAAGTAGTGGTGTTGCTCAGAACTGCACTTGGTGCAACCCCCACTTCTAGCTAGAGAAGCCCAGACAGGGCTGGGGGCTGGGGGCTGGGGGCTGGGGGCTGGGGGCTGGAGGCTGGGGGCTGGGGGCTGGGGGCTGGGGGCTGGGGGCTGGGGGCTGGGGGCTGGGGGCTGGGGGCTGGGGGCTGGGTACACACAAACCTGTGGTTCCCCAAACCAGTATCAACTCCAGACCCCAGCCTCCAGCCTACTCCAGGCCACACAGGACGCATCATCAAAGTGCTACACCTCGGTACCCAGGCAAGGCTCTGCCCTCACGATCTCCCTGGCTGCCAAGGGTGGGGGCGCCAAGGGTGGGGGCGCCAAGGGTGGGGGCGCCAAGGGTGGGGGCGCCAAGGGTGGGGGCGCCGGGAGCCATGCACTCAGCTGTTGGACAGACCCACAGCGGGGGCTTCCTGAATCGATGTGGCCTTGGTGGTGGAGCAGGACACCTGTGCCAGGTGGACAAGGGCAGGTGCCCAGCAACAACATGTTTCTGGGCAGGCAGTTTGGGGACAACATGACCTGAGGTGATAGCTGGTATCATATGTAGGGCCTCACCCTGGGAGGCAGGAAGTCAGGCAAGATACCGCTGGCTGGGTTCCCCCTGCCTGCAAACAGCCCTAAGTAGTTTATGATCCTGAGCAGATAGATAAGGCTACTGAATGGAGGAAACTCTAAAGACAGAGTAGTCATTTGGCTGGGAGAAGCAGGAAGGCTTAGAACAAACAGGATCCCACCCTGGGGCTCTTGAGAGCTTTTTTTTTTTTTTTTTTTTGAGACAAAATCTTCATGTAGCCCAGGCTTGTCTCCAAGTCATTATGTAGCTAAAGATAACCTGAACTAATTCTCCTGTGTCCACCTCCCAAGATGTAGAATTACAGCCATGCCCTATGGTGCCCACCTAGCATTCTGTCTGTCTGTCTGTCTGTCTGTCTGTCTGTCTTTTTATTATTTAAAGATTTATTATGTGTACAATGTTCTGTCTGTATGTGTACATGCAGGCCAGAAGAGGGCACCAGATCTCATTACAGATGGTTGTGAGCCACCATGTGGTTGCTGGATTTGAACTCAGGACCTCAGGACCTCAGTGCTCTTAACCTCTGAGCCGTCTCTCCAGCCCTATGTATTTATTTTATGTGTATACTTATTTTGTCTGCATGCATGTGTGTGTATGTCTAATGCCTTCAGAGACCAGAAGAGGGCATGGGATCCGCTGGAACTGGAGTTACAGGCGGTTGTGAGCCACCATGTGGGTGCTGGGAACCAAGCCCGGGCCCTGTGCGGGAGCAGTCAGCACTCTTCTCTGAGCCAGTCTCTCCAGTCGGGCTCATCCCCGACAGTCCACTTCCTCAGTGTAGACCCAGGTCAAAAGCTAGGGTTGACGCTGCTTGTGGCAACACACACCTGCAATCCTAGGAATGGGAGGTAATGGGGGGGGTCAGACGCTCAAGGTCAGCTTCAGCTGCGTGGGGAGTTCAAGGCCAGCTTCAGCTGCGTGGGGAGTTCAAGGCCAGCTTCAGCTGCGTGGGGAGTTCAAGGCCAGCTGGGGCCCCAGGAGACCCTGTCTCTAAAAGTGCTCGGGGAGGGGCACAGGACGGGCCTCTGCTGGCAGAACGCTGTGAGTCACACCTGCATCCTGGGCTCCGTTGCCAGCACCGTGTAATCTTGATGTAACGGTCGGGGCATGCCTGTGATTTGAGGCCAGCCTGGGCTACATGAAACCCAGCCTGGGCTACATGAGACCCTGTCTTGGAAACAAACAGAGGCAAAGCAGCAACAACAAAAATCAGAAGGGAAGAAAAGGCCAAGGTTGAATGAACCAAGTGACCTTAGAGCCCTCTGTTTGGAAGGGCTTAGTCTGCGCCCGGAATGGGCTGGGCCACGGCAGGAAGCAGATGGTAGCTTGTCCTGGAGAGCAATTGAGAGTGTTTACAGAGAGGAGGGGTGTGGGCGGCCTAGGGCTAGCAGGAACCCCTGAGCCCCAAGAATGATGGGTATACGTAGCAGTCACGGGAAGGGCCAGGACCTGTCTGGAAGGTGGAGGGACAAAACCCCAGAAAGAGCCAAAGGGATACAATGTCCACTCTGTCATCCTGCCCTGGGCTATGCCTAACCAGAAGCCAAGCTCCTGGACACACAGAGGACAAGGGTGGGACTTTAATTTTTTTGAGTTTTTGAGGCAGGAAGGGCCTCATGTAGCCCAGGCTGTCCTCAAACTCCTTATGTAGCTGAGATGACCTTGAACTTCTGATCTCCTGCCTCTACCTCTTAAGTGCTAAGATCACAGGGTGTGTCATCGTGCAGTTTGTGGGATGTTGGGGATGGGACCGGGGGTGTTGGGGATGGGACCCACGGCTCCCTGCATGCTAGGCGGGCGCTCTATCCTTGCTTTTCATTTTAAATTACATTTAGTTATTTATTTTTCCTGAGTGCTGGCTTGCAGGCACAAACCTTCAGGACAGACTTTCAGAACTGTGTTTCTGGAGACAGTCCCCGGCCTCTGCTGTGTCTTTTTGCTGTTAATGGTCCCCATCTTCTCCCTAGCTGCCCTGTGAGTTCTTGGCTCCCTCTCCACTCTGCTACACAGCCCCAAGGTCCCGCGAGTCCACCCATTGAACCGAGATCTGTGGCATCATGTTCCTTCCCCATTCTGAGGTCCTCTGGTCCTTACATCAAACCCTGGACAGGTCCAGGCCAACTCAGGTCCTTCCACAGACACAGCCCTGCCGTAGAGACGCAATCCTCTTCCTTTCGTCCTAGCCAGGAGCTGAGGCCAGAGTCTACCTCAGCCACACGGGGAGAGCCCAGCACAGTGTGGCTGCCAGCGTGTGCGTGCGTGTAGCACATGTGCATACACGCCATGGCATGCCTGTGGAGGTCAGAGGGAATGACTCTCTCCTTCACTGTGTAGGTCTCAGGATTGGACTCGTGCTCAGTCTCGACAGGAAAAGCCTTCACCCACTGAGCTATCTTACTGACCCAGTGCCCATGTTGTCTGCTTTTCTGTTTCTCTCCCACACCGGGCGAAGTGAGACAGAAAACAGCTTGTTTATGGGAAGTCGAGTGTATTGGGACAGCCAGGTCTGAGGCAGCTCGGAGAGCGTCCTCCTGGGAAGTGGCTTCAGCTTCCACGTCAGGGTTAAAAATAGACGTGACACTGAGATGGGGGGGCGCCCCACAGACGGGAGGGAAGGAGGCCACAAGGCAGGCTCTTCCCTCCATCCGCTGTTGGGAACACACGGTTCCTTGGTCATCGTTTCTCCATTTAAAGCCATCATGTCCAGGTGGGGCAGGAGGCACCGGTCTATCATCCTGCTAGATACTCAGGAGGGTGAAGCAGAAGGCCTGGGTGGCCTGTAGCATGAGTTCAAAGCGGAGTCAGGAAACGTAGTGAGAGCCCTGTCTCAGAAAGTAGAAAACAGGGCTGGGGCATGGCTCTGCGGTGGGGGTTTGCCTAGAATCCCCCAGTGAGGGGCTGGGGGTGTGGCTCAAACACAACTCATTTGCCTGGCATGCATGATGCCCTGGGTTCCAATCACACACACACACACACACACACACACACACACACACACACACACACACACACCACTGTTCCCAAATCTATGTTGCCAAGTATGTATCTTTGAAATTGGGGAAAACAAAGACGCATGCTGTTGTAGTCTCAGCTTGTGGTGGGCGGGAGGAAGCCACTGCCCCTCACCAACCCTGCACATCCTGTAGAGATGCCCAGATGAGTAGCAGAGGCACCGTGTCTTCCCTGGGAAGCCGGGTCTCAGGCTCCAAAGCCAAGGCCGTGCTCTGGCAGCGGCCCCCAGCCTGCAGGGCGTGTCCCTCCCTCTTTGCAG